CTTCCCAGTTGCATTGTAGTTTTGGGGACAAACCTTTCTTTCGTTGTAGATTGTACAGCAACACTAAATCTCCTTCCTGGAAACCCTCGGAATTCATCGCCTTATCATACCTGGCTTTCATCTTGTCACTCATAATTTGTGTGCGCTGTCTCACAAGAGCATGTATCTCTCTCAGCTGCTCTTCCAGGATCTTTGACGTCTCTTTTCCAATTCTTCTAGCATCACCAATCACCCCAAACTTCAGATCACTAGGCAAACGGAGCTCACTGCCGAATATTACCCTTGCAGGAGTTTTACCCGTTGTTTCATGCACTGCTGACCGGTATCCCATCAGGAACAAGGGTATGCGGACATCCCAATCTTTTTGATTCTTGTCCACGACCTTCCGCAAATGCTCTTCCAGGGTTCCACCATGCCATTTGATTGCGGATGAAGAGCCGTTGTTCGAGTTTTCCGGATACCCAGTATCTGGCACATCTCTTGGAACACCGCCGATTCAAAATTTCTTCCCTGGTCAGAGTGCAGCTCTATAGGTACACCGTATCTAGCAACCCAATTGTAGGTGAATACCTCCGCTACTGTTTTAGCTTCCTGGTTTGGAATCGGGTATACCTCCGGCCGTTTGCTAAAGTAGTCCATAACCACAAGGACGTATTTATTTCCCTGTGCGCTTACAGGAAATGGACTGGCTACATCCATTGTAATCCGCTCGAAAGGTGCACCTGAGTTATATTGCAATAAACTCCGCGCAGTTAGCAATCCACTCTGCGACCGATTGCCGACAACCAACCCAATAGAACCTCTGCTTAACCTTCTCCAAGGTCTTCGTGATTCCCAGGTGCCCTCCACTAGGACCATTGTGGAATTCCTTGAGTACATCCGGAATTCTTACCCTTGGAACTACAATCAGGTTGCGGGTGCACTGGCCATCTTCGCTTTCCCATACCCTATGCAAACAGCCAGATATTAATTTTAAGCTGTTCCATTGTGCCCAGTACGCCTTTGCGATGGGGCTTTCCGCTGCCATTTGCTCCTTAGTTGGCCTTCTGTCCATCTCGCATCAAAAGCTCCAGATCTGGATCTTCCTGCTGACACTTTCGTAGCTGTTCTTCCTTCCACTCTTCCGCTGGTGTTATTGTCGTTAGACGGATGTCCTCTTTTCCCTCAGCTTTTGAGCAGTGTTTACATTCCAGGCT